AAAAGAATGACACCATTCTACGTCTGATAGATCCTTAATTTTAAAGGAATCTTTATACAAATAGTCGATCAGAGTCACTGTCACTATTTCTAGCCGATATACATAGATTATACACTAATTATATATGCTTATACACATATTATACATGGATTATACATATATACATTTGCCAATTACTAATTAGGTTAATTTTTCGATTTTTCAACTTCACGTTTGCCCTGACGACGCTCTTTTAGCGTTCTAAGTGTACTTGTGGTATGTGTCTAAGAACCTCTTTTTCTTTCTTAAAATCCGTGCTTAGCTTCACTTGTATTCTTTCCTTCCACTCCTTTCCAACTCATTTCTTCGGTTCAGCAATTTCAACACCGTGCCCCTTCTTCAGGGCGGCAGATGGGTCTAGAGAACCGAACTATCTCACGATTTCAATCCGGTTAGAAAAACTTCTCCTGAGCAATTCACGTATCACTCAAATAGTAGTATGAAACCTTAAGAAAAGGCGATCTACTAATTGAAAAAAAGGAGGATCCATTAAAGAGTTTATGTTGTCTCGGTAGGGAATAGTCCAATCTTTTATACTATAATATGAAATGAAACCAACAACGTACCTATTATGATTTTTATCCTAGATGACCGAGGAACTACCCCTAGTTTAGTAGTTTTAACTCATTTCCCCAAGCTATTTCAGCAGATCTTCATCTTTAATCATCTCTTTGTTGCTGTTACTGGTTCGAGCTGGAAACAACCTCTTGCAGAAATGCAGGGTAAGGCTGCGTACGATAGACCATTGTGGTCCGGCCCTTCCCTGAAACTCGCACATAGCGGGAGCTTAGTGCACCGGGCTGCCCTTAGTTGCTGTTACTCGTAACTAATGTCGTAGTCTTATATGCAGCTTTGCTCTGTCAGTCTTCTTGCTGGTCTCATGATACTGTTGCGAAGCGCGACCAAAATCACTCACAAGGCTCAATCTGTGACATGCCTTGCAGCCAAGTGGCATGTATGTGCAACAATAGACTCATTCGATTCGATTGAAGGTGAGACTCCAATTACTCGGGCGACCTGTGGCCAAAGTTTTCCTGCATGTTCAGAAGGATCTGATTCTGATGATGTTGGAGATGAAGAAGATGAATTGGACAATACGAAATTTGTTCCTGCTTATGCCTATAGCACAATTTCATTCCAGAAAAGACAGGCACTAGGTATGCTGGTTAATATCATTATCCGTTTAACTTCTGTGCACTCACCGTGTATAAAATCGTAACTTGAGAAATATAATAAATATCTACTGGCAGAGGCGAACCTATATTTGGAGTAGAGGGGTTACTGACCCTGTCAACTTCGGCAAAAATTCTGAATACATATGTATATGTTGAAAATGGTCATATATTTTACTTGGATCTATTAAAACCAAATGTTAGATGAGGGCACTGGTTGAGTAGTCCGCTCATGTGTCCCCACCACCTTCACATTCTGGGTTTGCCTCTGCCTACTGCAATGTTGCTCGGATTCTCCGAAAATATCGCCAGGTGCATGTTGGATCCTCCAAAAGTAGTATATTTTTGGAAGATCCGACACAAGTGTGGCAGCATTTTGGAGAGTCCGCCACAACATAGGCCTATTGTAACACATAATGTAAAAATCTTTACAATTATATAAGTTACTCCTGCTACTATTAAGTTCTGTATTACTGAATGGCTAGGATCATCTAATTGTAGTTCATTTTGTCACACTTATTGCAGTGAAATATTTTGAGAACAACAGAGCAGGTGTAGCAATTTATGGATTTATGTTGGATAGAAGTTCTATTCACACCATATTTGGATTAGAACTATCACTGGTTCTTTGGTTGCTTGGCAAAACCATTGGCATTTCTTGAATCATCGGCTATCAGAACCGGACTTTTTGACTCGTGCAATGGTTAGACTGTAAAAATATCATACGATGCGGATATATGAGATCAATCTTTTTCCTCCGGTGCCTCCTGTTCATTCTTCGTCATTTCATCATTTCGTTGTGTTGTTCTGTTCGTAAGTCCTTGCCCTTCTTAGAAGGCGAGCGAGCGCGCATAGAGCTATTTGTTGATTCAACTTTTGTATCATTTCTTATATCATATTCTTTCTTTTATTGCTGGCTAAATAATTTATCAGGATGGGTTGTAGTTCTGATGCCAACTTCACTGGAACTATTTGAGTAAATATGTTATATATGTCATGTTACTTCTGGCTTTTGTGAGTATTAACATGATTTAAATTTACTTCTAGCCCATGACTGATTTCATTAGGATAAATAATGACAACACAAAAAAGAATCCTTTTGGTAACCATATCTGTAAGGGATACAAAAGAAATTAAACCAGTAGCCAGTGTTAAATAGAGAGCAGCAACTACAGATGATAAGGCCAGTGACATCTGCAGAGATAGACATTGCCATCAAAGATATGCCAACAGACAAAGCTCCAGGGATAGATGGGTTCCCTATTGAATTCTTCACAAGAAACTGGGATTTAGTGAAGAATGATATATATGCTGCAGTACAGAGTTTTTTTGAGACAGGAAAATTGCAGAAGAAGTTGAACTGTACAGCTATCACTTTGATTCCTAAGGTAAATTCACCATCCCTGGTCAAAGACTGTAGACCTATTGCATGCTGTAACACTTTGTACAAAATCATTGCAAAGATGTTACAATTGAGAATTAAGAAGGTTATTAGGAACATAGTAAGCCACTCACAGTCTGCATTTATAGAAGGAAGGAGTATCATCGACAACATCTTATTCAGTCATGAGCTATTCAAGGGCTACAATAGAAAAGGGGTGTCTCCTAGGTGTGTTATGAAAGTGGATCTTAGGAAAGCATATGATACTATAGACTAGAGATTCCTGAGAAGAATGCTAAGTGATCTTGGATTTCCATTCAGATTCATTGAATGGATCATGGAATGTGTCAACTGTTTCATACTCTCTTGTGCTAAATGGAGGCCTAACCAAACCCTTTCAAGGACAAAGAGGCATCAGACAAGGGGACCCTATGTCCCCTTACCTCTTTGTAATTGCTATGGAATATTTGATTAGGGAAATGATGCTACTAGCAGAGAATGGAGACTTCAATTTCCATCCTAGATGCAGGAAACTGGGCATAATACACATTTGTTTTGCAGATGATTTGCTCATGTTCTGCAGGGCAGACATTGAATCAATCAGGTTGCTTCAAGGGGTATTTCAGAAGTTCTATGCAGCTTCTGTATCAAGCAAACAAGGACAAAAGCTCTATTTACATGGCAGGGGTTGATGCAGATGAAAAGCAGGCTATCCTGAATACATTGGGTTTTGAAGAGGGTACTCTCCCTTTCAGATACTTAGGAGTGCCACTATCATCCAAAAAACTAACTCTGCAGCAATGTTGGCCCCTAATGGAGAAGATAACAGATAGAGTAAGGTGTTGGTCTGCAAGGCTACTATCTTATTCTGGCAGGCTTCAACTGATAAAGTCAGTATTGTTTGACATTCAAACATACTGGGCCCAGATATTCTTACTCCCTAAGAAAGTCATGAAGATGATAGATGCAGTTTGCAGAACTTTCTTATGGACAGGAGAAGCAACTATCCCAAAGAAAGCTCTGATAGCTTGGGAACAGATATGTAGGCCTATTTCTGCAGGGGGTTTGAATATCATCAACTTATGCATTTGGAACAAGGCTGCTGTGATGAAACAATCGTGGACTGCCTGTGGATTAAATGGGTCCGCAATTACTACATCAAGAAGCAGGATTTAGAACACATGCCTACACCTAAGAATGCAACTCGGGTAATCAGGAACATCATTGAGACAAAGAAAGACCTGAAGAGGCAGCCTATGCGGGGATCCTTGTGTGATAGACTGAAGATACTACAACTGCAGGAACAATTCTCAATTAAACAGACCTATCTTTTGTTGTTGCCCCAGTATCAGAAAATCCATTGAAAAGTATAATTTTGCAGACAAACATTCATCCCAGATTCAAATTCACACTATGGTTAGCTGCACATGAAAGACTATCTACTGTGGATAGACTAAGTAGAATTGGAATACAGGTGCCACATGATTACTAGCAGAATTTGGTCCAGATTACTATTATGGCTGGGCATGAACAGGAGCATAAAGGGATGGTCAGAGGAGCTTACTTGGGCAAGCAGGATGGCTAGAAAGAAGACAGGAAAAGCTGCAATCACTAGCTATGTGTTTGCTATGCTCATATACAATATATGGAGGGAGAGGGACATGATTCGTTTCCAGCAAAGTGTCTTTGAAAAACACAGAATATGCAGAGAAATTGTACTCCATGTACATACAAGAGGCAGAGGACAACCAAAGTGGCAGCAGACATTGCATATATACTTTTGATTAATACAATTTGAGTTAAATAAAAATAAAACCAGTACAAAAGAACGACCACGTTATCACAATAGACCGACACTACTTGCATAAAATCTTTGGTACGCCATCGTTGCAAGTTGTGACGAAATGTTGAGCAGCTACTCTTTAGCCATGCTTTTCTCCGTATTCCCAACAAATTTGAGCAAATATTAAGAGCGATTTAACTTATTTACACTTAAAGAGTAATAGATTTTTACACTATTAGAGTAATTTAAGCCTTTTTAATAGGTAACTTATTTTATTTTTTAAGCAACAAATACTACTTGGTATGAATAATTACATGTAATTATTTTTGAGTGACTGGATGATGTAAAAATTTCGTTACAGTATAAAAAAGTTGAACACTTAAAGGATTTTTAATTGGTTTAGTGGACATATATAAAACAAACATCCCAAAGTTCATCACATTTTATCTTATTTCCTTTTCCTGTTTCCCCTTTTCTATTCTTTTCTTATTTTGTTTTATTTTATATGCTTAGCTTAATTATTTCTTTTGTTCTCCTTTCTTTTCGCCTTCTGCATTTCATCTCTTCCAGTAAGTTCAGCCATGCAGATTTTTTTTATTTTTTATTTTCGCCCTTCTAGCTTCGCCTCTTCTGAAGATACAAAAAATTTCCATCAAAGTCTTCGTCTCTTCCATAAACTGTGTCTTTTTCCTCTCCTCGTTACACAACAAATATATATACAACAGGCGAGGAGAAAGCACAGAGAAGATATAGAAAGCACGAACAGATATATAGCAACGGTATATAAGGCTCGACTAATTCAGATTCGTGTTGCATATAGGACCAGGTTCAAATTAGTGCTACATATGACTATTTAAGGAGAAAACATGCTACGAAAAAAAAAAAATCTTCATTCTCATGTTGCTAACCCGAGACATCTGATTAAAAATCCTCATTCGCGATCCGTCTAACCATAGTGTATGCTTTGTTTTGTACGTTTATGTTTTGTGATCTTGAGCCATGTTTTCTTTTTTAAAAACAGATTTTTTTTTATAGGTTTACCAAAGAGAGTTTTGTTAATTTTTGAAATGCCAAATGCATTGTAGTTTAGAAAATTTTCTTCATGAAATAGTAATTCATTCAAATGCAAACTATTTTTCAGGAAAAAATAGTTCGAACACTTTCTATTGATCTTATTTTAAGTCATTCTATCACCAAAAAAAATATTTATTTATTTATTTAATCATATTTGATTTAAATTGTATAATTATCTCATCTAAAAGTTTAAATTTTTAGCAAAAATATGTGTTTATGTACTTTCCTAGCCTGATTTTTTTCATGAGCCAAATATAATTATCTACTGTGATACTATATTAATTATGTATAATCATACTTAATTTAATTTAATTTATATACATTATCAGTGTGATTAATTTATATACATTATCAGGGGTAGTCGGGCAGTCGATTTATGTTGTGTTTCAGACTTTTGTATAATATTTGTGGTACTGCTTTTCCATCTATTTGATGTCTCTCACGTTGCTGATATTATTTTTTCGGGTTTTGTTGTCACAAATCTATTGTCTCAGAGCCGAGGGTATCCCGGAAACGATCTCTCTAGTCTCTACCCCCTCCAGGGTAGGGGTAAGGTCTGTGTACACTTTATCCTCCTCAAACCCCACTGAGTGGGATTTTACTGGATCATCATTGTTGTTGTTGTTATCAGTGTGATTAGACCGTGAAATTATCAATTTATACTTATCAAGAAATTACTTCATATATAAAGTTATCAAGTTTATCCTGATATTAATTAATATTTATAAAAAATTTACCTATAATTATCTTTTATATACTTTTTTTTTTTAATATACAACTCGATTTTGTAATTCTTATTTACATGTAAGAACTCCTTCAACAATTGGACAACAAACTAAATACATCTTCCCCTTCAACATAAACTAGGCTTCTCTGAACTCTGAAGAATGGAGTTTGATACTTTTCCCATTAATCAATGCTCCAAAAAGCACGAGAAGATATATCAAGAATGGTTCAATTTTGCTGATTCGGGTCTGCTCTCTCTCTCTCTCTCTCTCTCTCTCACACACACACACCCCATTCATATTTAAAGATGTGCATGCAATTTAGTTATTGACTAAAAAATTGGGTTAATAACAGATGGAGATGGACGTCTCACTGGAAAGGATGCTACCAATTTCCTTGCAATGTCAAACTTGTCTCGTGATCATCTCAAGCAGGTTTTTTTGTGTGCTTAATTCTTTCAATCAACTCATAGTAATTGTTGCACTTTTATACCTCTGTATATATGAGTAGAATATAACTAATTCTGAACCCGGTTAATGGGGTAAATTCACTGCTAGCTTCAGGATAAAATGATACAATCAGGAGCGGAGCCGGCATGTCATCTACGAGTTCGATCGAACCCATTTTGAACCTGCACTTGTCTTAAAAAATTTATTGAATATATACAAATTATTAATTTAGAATCTAATAACTTAAAATTAGAATTATGAAACCATAAGATTCAAATCCTGGCTCCGCCTCTGCTTACAATAGAGTGGACAAACTACTTTAAGATTGAAGCATGGTAAATTGATGAATCCTTTCACTTTTTTGCTTTATTATGCCAAAATTCGCTGGGAAAAATGGAATACCAAAGATTTCAGTAATTTTCGTGCATTTCCACTCTTATTTTCACGACTTTCTTTCCTTTCCGGTTTTCTATAATAGGGTCAGTGGCGGAGCCAGGATTTTCATTAACGGATGTCAAAATATCAAGGGGATTAAACATATACTAGTATATATACATAAACAAAAAAAATTACCTACCTCAACAGTGTACTTTTCCCACGAAGTGATGTCAACTGACATCCCTTGCTATAAGGTGGCTCCGCCACTGACTAGGGTGGTTATCTCATGTCTGTTGCAGCGTCGAGCTATACGTGTGTGTGCAGTGGCGAAGCCAGAAATGTTTCCAAGGGTGTTCAGACTTGAAAGAACTAAAAAAAATTCCCGACAAAGGGTGTTCAATATATGTTTTATACATCTAAAATCAATATTTTACTTATATACACAGTGTAATTTTTCATAATATTTCGGTGAAGGTTGGTCAGTTCCTTTGTAAAAGGTGGCTTCGCCCCTGTGTGTGTGCGAGCATACGAGTTTCCTCCAAGTTAGGGGCGTGGATAGAAGGGGATTCAATTGAATCCTTTTGTCGGGAAATTATATTTTGCAAACCGGGCAAAATGAATTCTTGTTGTTTGTATATAAATTGTTGAATCCCCTTTACATAAAAGAAGATTCTACTCTAGTGGGAAAAGGGATTCAAATTTGCTTTAGGTCATAGGTTCAAATTTCAGGTGTGACATTCTTGTATTTTTTTAATCCCCTTGTTCAAAATTCTGACTCTGCCACTGCCTTGAGGTGTCCTTTAGGTTATTTGTTTCTATAGTTGTGTTCTAAACGATTATTTTTTTCCCAATAATTTGTCATCTTGACTCGTTTTTTACGACCTTAACAATTTGTTGTTCATGTTGGATGCCCAGTTGTTGAACTAGTGTACTTGTAGCTGTTCATTTCCTAAAGGCAATAGCTCATTTATCATCTTTACTTCTATCGGTGAATCAATTCAAGTATGGAATTTTCCTTTGTGTAGCTGAATGCTGGAAACCATATTGGAACTATTTTCTTTTGTTTGATATGCTAAACTCATCCCAAAACCCTATAAGGAAAGTAGATAATATTGACTAAGAACAAGAAGGAAAGAAGAACAACTTATCAAAAATATTGTGTCGTGGCAAGCCACTGCCTTGAAAGCGATTTCGGCCCGACTAGGTGCAAATCGTTAAGACCGGTCGCTCCCCAAGGTTCCACAGCACCTCCAAACACATTGCCCAAAAAGAAGAGAAGATGAAGGTTTTTTCTGTAGTTGTTACAGAAATTAAAATGTTGTAGGAATAAGAAAGTGATGATTAGCAAGATGAATTATTGGTTAAGAATTGAGTGAATATGATGACTAATGACCATCCTATTTATAGGCAATTAGGGAGGTTGCATATATGACAAGTGTGGAGAGCCTTTTAACACTTGTCCAAATATATTAGTTCATTTGGCTTCAACATTAACAAGTGTACCTAGTCTTCCATGCATGAAGACACATGGTAGATTTGCATAACCACTTGTCAAAACCATTCAACACTTGGCTTTAAGGCCACATGCAAGAAGCCACTTGGAAATAGATTGAAAAATAAAAAGACCCATGGCTATTGGTTGTAAATGGATTTTCACAAAGAAATTTTTGACTTTGCATTATAAATAATACCAACAACCTCCCCACTACCCAAGTTTTGTTTTTGCTCCTTTGGCGACTCGAATCCCCAAACGTAATGGCTGATGGTGGAGGGTCTTTATCAAGGTTTGGATGGAGGTGAAATATAAGTATTTTGATAAGTTTGGTCATAAGTAGAACTAAGTGGGGTTAGAAAGCAACTAGCTCAAGAAATATTGGATGGCAAAATGAGCCCTTCTCTCCTCTTCTTGCACCTAAAATGAAACCAACACCGACTTTTTAGTTACTTGAGAGAGTGTTACAGCACGTCATGCTAAATGCCATTTGATGATGTGCAGCCTAGGAGTTGCATTTGGACTTCTAACGATCTTCATTTATGAGTAAGATGCCAACGCCCTATTAATGTTCAATAACAACAACAACAACAACCCAGTGAAATCTCACAAGTGGGGTCTGGGGAGGGTAGTATGTACGCAGACCTTTCCCTATTAATGTACCTTTTATGCATTTAGTAGTTATGCTCTTTTGATAAGGCAAATAGCTATATTTTATGTGTTCTACGATTCTTGCAGTTTTTGTGAATCTCTTTACTGTTTAAACATCAACAGATTGTTTTACTTCTCTGTTTTTCCTAAGGTGTGGGCAATTGCAGATTCCAAGCGGCAAGGATTTCTCAGTTTTAAAGAGTTTATTACTGCAATGCAGGTACATAGCTCTTTGAGTGGGCTCTCATTTCACCTTTATAGTTAATTTTCTTCCCTCTAAAATGCAGATCATTCTTTGCATTTCACTATGTAGTTGGTCTCTTTGGCTCAAGCTGGCCATGCAGTGACAAGTGATTCCTTAAATGCCGAAGGTAAGTAGGACGGTATCAAAACAGTATGCTAGTAATTTCAGTTGTCACCAACAAGGGCCGTGGTGCTTACTTCTTCATCCTTAACCAGAGCTCTTGGGTTGGAGTCTTGGCCTTGTTAGGGAGTGCGTTACCCACCAATGTGGGACTTCCCGGCACGAATCCTGATTTAGTCGAGCTCCAGTGCTAGTACCGGACACCGGATATAATTGTCACTTGACTGCTATTCTAGAAACTTAGTTGATTCTTTGTCAGGCTTGTATTGATTTTCTTTAGCATGCAGAATTTGTTCTCTTATAATGATTTTGTAATTAGAACACTTTAAATTTTATGCAGTTGACTTTGAAACTTTGCAGCTACCTACAATGGAAGGTCTGGATGGACTTCTCGCTGTAAGTATGCTAGATTTCACTTTCTTTTTTTCTTTTTCCCATTCGTAGCTTCTTTTTTATAACCATAGTGTCAAAGGCCAGTTTGTGCGCACATCGACTAATTCTGCGGGGTACTTGTTACCTCCCACCAGTACATGTACCGGGTAACTGTGTTCGCCAAGACTTGGACAGATGGAAGGAAATCACCTAGGTCTCATAGCTTTTTAGTTATCCTGAGGTCGAGAGTTCCATTCATAACTTAACTGTTAACTTAAAATGTTTTACAGAAGAAGAAGCGTGTGGCTAAATGGGCACCTGACCGCAATGGTAATGTTACTTCGGTACATACAAGAAGATCTTTCATTTTATTTGCTTAAGTTTGTGGGAAATTGGGAAGGGGAAGTGGATGGAGCCTTTGTATCTAACTAATTGAATTGTGAAGCAGGAAGTCTTATGTTATCTTCAGGAGCTAATTGGTTTTCGTCATCAAAATCTGCAAAGAAGGTGAGCGTTGTTATTGTCTTTATTCTTTTATATAAAACTGCTACTACTACGCCTCAATACCAAAGTAGTGGAGTCAGCTATATGAATCCTCACTAAACTTGTTGCTCTATTTAGACCCATATCAATTCTAGAAGTTCTTAACACTAAAATTCTCGACATTTCTACTGGCATACAGATCACTAACAAAACCAGAATACTCTCAAAGAACGTATGTAAATGTACAGCACGACTAAGCTTTCATACTTACTGGTACCGCCAATATGAACAATTTTCTTCCATTGTGTCGATTTTGCACAAGTCTGCATGAGTTTCAAGAGATTGTAAGTCTTTTAAGACAACTTTCTTCCACATGATTTTAGGTTTATTCGTCCTCTTTTAGTACCTTTGAGAGTCTTTGGAGGTTGACATAGGATGTGACGAAACCATCTCAAGCACCTTCTCTCATTTTGTCCCGTATGTGTGCATTAACTCCCAATTCTTGTGCTTTCTTTTGCTTAACTAATGCACTTTTCAAATGCTTGCCTGTTGTAGATTCCGAATATTAACTTTGTTCCAATAATCCGTCTGTTTTGCATCAAATGCCATGTTTTCATATTTACCTGTCTATATGATATCCTTTCCTATGAGTACCTTTCCACACTATTTTCACAATTTACGATTTACGTGACTGACTTCTGTTATGCAATGTCTTAATATGATTGATAAACTTCTAAACTATTGTATTCTGTATAGGTTTCACAGTTTACAAGTAGACTTATGTTATAGCTTTCCATTGGTATGTTCAATATTAATTCCTGTTTTTGCTCCTGAGATGATGCTCGATCATTTTCGTTTGCCCTTTAGGTTTCTTCAAACTATGTCACATCAATAATTGATGGACTGAAGAAGTTATACGTCAAGAAACTAAAGCCTTTGGAAGTTACATATCACTTCAGTGATTTCGTCTCTCCTTTATTGGTAGGTTTAGTTAGCATTTCAGTTTAGCTATGCTTATTTGAAACAAATGAGAAAAAAAACTTTAATTTTATTTCTTTCTTATCTGTATCATGATGATGGCAATACACATTATTAACTTGTTTATTATGCTATTTTGGTAGGCAAATAGTGATTTTGATGCCAAACCAATGGTGATGCTTTTGGGTCAATATTCCACCGGCAAAACAACCTTCATTAAGCATTTACTCAGAACCAGTTATCCAGGTTAGCAAATAAGAGTTTTTTTCCGCTTTTATGTGCTTTTGTCTGTGCATTTGACGGGTCTTCGTTTACATGTATGATTCTTTTATGTCTGTAGGTGCTCATATTGGACCAGAGCCTACAACAGATAGATTTGTCGTCGTCATGGTACTTTCACCTATCTGATTTTTACTGACTATTGTGTTCACTCACTTATTATCCTTCTCGGTATGGTGCTGAGTAGAAGAAAACTTATACTCTACCGGAGTTGAATCTTTTTGTTAAAAGCAATCCCAGAAATAGTGTCCCCTAATTTTAGATGACGTTTTATGATTCTATAACAGTTTACTTTTCATCAACATATATAAACTACTATATTCAACTATCTGAGCTACTTATGGATTCACGCAAACCCAGTAGCTTCTACCCAAACCCTGTATATGCATTAAAAAATTCATTAAATAGTTAAAAATATTCGACTGTGAATGTAGTTATTATTGTATATTAACTTAGTCGCTGTGAGAACCCATAAACTTAAAACCCTGGATCCGCCTCTGATTAATGGAGAACGTTCAATAGTAGAGGAGAATTTATTCTTGAAAGTAGGTTTGTTTAATGGTGTTGGTATGCCAAATCATTTGCTAGACATTCATTCACTTTAACTGTGTATTACACAGAACGGACCTGACGAAAGAAGTGTCCCGGGGAATACAATTGCTGTTCAAGCAGATATGCCATTTAGTGGTTTGACAACTTTTGGAACATCATTTTTGTCAAAGTTTGAGTGTTCTCAAATGCCGCATCCTGTAAGTTAATGGACTCTTTGTTACTCATACCACATAATGAAAACAAATTTTATAGAAACTAATGATATCATTTTTCCCTTAAAAAGCTGTTAGAAGATATCACAATTGTGGATACTCCGGGAGTTTTATCAGGCGAAAAGCAACGAACGCAAAGGATCTATGACTTTACGGGGGTGACATCCTGGTTTGCTGCTAAGTGTGATCTCATTCTGCTATTGTTTGATCCCCACAAACTTGATATTAGCGATGAGTTCAAACGTGTGATTGCATCTCTTCAAGGTCATGATGATAAGATACGAGTTGTTTTGAACAAGGCTGACCAAGTTGATACTCAACAAGTAAGGCATATTACATTTTCTTTCGTTCATGTTCGCGACCTATTTCTAGACTATGCTAAAATTTATTTTATTAATTGATCCCTGTTATTGCAGCTAATGAGGGTTTATGGAGCATTAATGTGGTCTTTAGGGAAAGTTCTGAATACCCCTGAAGTTACGCGTGTCTACATAGGGTATGATCTCGCTATTTTCAATTAGTTCATAATTAATTTAGAAGGGATTATAGCAAAATAAATGTAATTAAGCTGCAGAACATAATGATATTGTGAGAATAATAATACACTAAATACATTATCTCTTGCTTTAGTGCAGGGATAATGTTCGCAAATATCTAAATATACATGTTCGTTTCATAGTTCTTTCTATTTGAAGGCATAATTTTAAAGTCATCCAAAATGTTTTATTTTTGGACAGAAAACAAAAAAGGGCAGTCCGGTGCACTCCTGCAGTGTCAGGGGAAGGGCCGCATCCCAAGGGTGTGTTATGTAGGCAGTCTACCATGATGCAATCATCAGTGGCTGATTTCACGGCTCGAACCCGTGACCTATACGTCACACGGAGACAACTTTACTGTTTTTCCAAGGGTTCCCCTTATTATTATTAGACGGCAAATAAAATTCTTTTCGCTTTGGAATTGTGCAATTTGCATAAACTCTTTGGATGTTTTGGCTTTTACAGATCATTTAATGACAGACCT